AAACCAAAAAAAAATTAAAATAAAAACATACATAAAAAATGTCCAACCCCCCCCCTTTATTTTTAGGCACAAAACCCTGCAAGATGCTGGTGGGGGGGGAGCCAAAACCCATCACCCCACCAGCCATCTCCATATGGCCCCCAGTTGAGAACCGCCACTCCTCACTGCAACAGGATAGTAAATGAATTCTCCAGAGAGAGAGACAGTCTAGCTTTCAATACGAGATATCACTGTTTTGGGACAAACAGGACATCACTGGCCTTCTGCCAGTTCCTTGGAAATATGTGATTCACTGTCAGATGCTACACATTTCATCTGAGCCACAAGGACATTTGGGAAGGGAGAGTGAATCTCCAATTGATCAAAACAGCTAAAAAGGGCAGCCATGAAGAAGGCCAGTCGCCCTCCAAATCTTTATGCTGGGGACCAACACTAAGACGTGACTTCCTCCAGCATACTTTGTGGGTTTCTTCAGCAGTGTGTTAACAGTCGTATTGGAACCAGAATGCTATACAGATCAGTGTTTTTCAAACTTGGCAACTTTAAGATGTGCGGACTTCAACTTCCAGATTCTCCAGCCAGCATGCTGGCTGGGAATTCTGAGAGTTGCAATCCACACACCTTAACGTTGCCAAGGTTGAGAAACACTGTTTTAAAGAATCAAGTCAGCCCAGGTATAAGTTCACAGAAAGGCTTGAGACAATACATCAAGAGACATTCTACACTGTGAGATGCAAGCTTGACATCAGAAAAAGAGCAAAGCTATGAGATAGCAACATCTCACAATTAAAAACATGAAATTTTCCTTTCTGCAGGGCATAGAAGAATGAATACTGAACTTGTCAGAAGATACAGAATAAAAATACATTTAGTCTTCACTTAACAACCATTTGTTTAGCGACCATTTGAAGTTACAACAGTGCTGAACAAAGGGACTTACAACTGGTTCTTGCGCTTACAACCATCGCAGCACCCTCACAGTTACGTGATGGTGATCCAGGCGCTTGGCAACCAGCTCGCACTTCCGACAGTTGCAGTGTCCCAGGGTCACATGGTTGCCATTTGTGAACTTCCCAGCCGGCTTCCAACAAGCAAAATCAATGGGGAACCACTTGATTCACTTAACGACCACATGATTCACTTAATGGCCAGTGATTCACTTAATGACCACTGCAAAAAAGGTCATAAAATCAGGTGCAACTTGCTTAACATCTGCCCCACTTAACAACAAATTTCCCAGTCCCTATTGTGGTCATTAAGCGAGGACTACCTGTAAGAGAACTTTACATTGCTGCAGCTTCAATACTTTGAATTTTGTGTACTGGCTGTAGTATTATTCCTTTTCATGGGTAGCTCTACTTCAGGGTAGTACAGGGTTATAGCAGAACAAGCTTTTTGTCTAATAGATTTGATTCATCATTCCTTCTGAAGGCTCGCCCTACCTCCGATTAGCTAAGCCAAGTGTCACTATCAACCAACAGATACCATCCTGCCACAGCTGTATATTTTGCTTGATATGGCCTATTTTTCTATTACAGAATTATTTCCATTTCATTTCTTATTCTTAAAGAGCAGGTTTCTTGGACTTGAAAAGGAGGTCTTCTCCACATGTAACATGCAGTCTGATAAGGGAGGTTTCGATGCCCAGGAGAAAACTGTTCAATTGGGCAAATGTATGAGTTGGCTATGGACAGGAGAGTCCAGATGTCAGAAAGCCAACTAGGATAAAATACATTACGTATTTATTTTATTTATTTAAAATATTCATATGGCCGCCCATCTTAAAACCAAACTCTGGGTGGCTCACGACCAAAGGATAAAACAATATACACAAGCCGTAAAAACAGAAAACCATAAAACCATGTACAAAGTTTCATAAATAACACCGGGGTCTTTAGCTTGGAATGTAGAAAGGTAAGGAGAGAAAATATGGAGGAAGATAAAATCATGCATGGCACAAATAACGGGGAGAAACAGATTCATTTACGTGCATGGATCCCTTTCTAGCATGCTTGCACTGGTTTTTCTGTTATTATCACCGCTGTTCCAATAATAACCTGCAAATCAGTGTTAACTTTTATGCAATCTGATTCCCTGGTCGCCCTCCTTCAGTTCACTGGAGGAATTCAGGATGGAA